CTCCCCCTCCCCCCTCCCCGCGTCTGCGGTCTCTGGTAATGGTACAGCGGAACAGCAAGTGTTGATTTTTGTAAACAAAAAATACGAACCAGTAATCCATTCCGTTCTTCTGATACAGGAATCAAAGTGGGAAAGGTGTAAAAGAATAATTTCCGGGGAAGAAAATGTAACTAGAACTTCAATCACAAAGAACGACTTTAAAATCCTCAACGTCTACAAGTCCGATGAAAATTGCGACAACGTTTTACACACTCGTTTTGCTCATCCTAATGTGACGAAAGAAGAAACGAAATTACCAATCGCTTATGGCTTCACAATCTACAAAGGTGCCTCTCTGTTTGAGAGGATTCTCCGGRCTATCTACATGCCACACAATGTTCACTGCATTCACATCGACAAGAAATCCCCAGAAGTCTTTTATCGAGCCATCCAGGCCATGATACGTTGTCTGCCTAATGTATTTATTGCAGCCAAGAGRGTTGATGTTGTATGGGGACATTTCTCAATTGTTCAAGCTCAGTTTGAATGCATGAAAGAACTCTTAGAATCATCAGTGAAGTGGAAATATTACATTAGTTTAATTGGACAGGATTTTCCGCTATACGAGAACAAASAAATCGTAGTAGCATTGAAAATGCTCAACAACACAAATAGCATGGAGAGTATCCCCATGCCGAAACATAACGAAGAACGAACTAAAAAAGTCCACATTTTAAATGGCGGTCTTGTTCAAAGGACCGGGACTGAAAAGTCCCCACCRCCACACAATGTATCTATCTACAAAGGATCTACACACATCGTAGCCATTAGAGACTTTGTCAGGTTTGTTCTYTACAGCAAGGTTGGGAAAGATTTCACTGAATTCCTAAAAGATACCTWTGTTCCTGATGAGACTATTTACGCCTCCTTACAACAGCATCCAMWGGCCCCAGGAGGGATCCGTGGGGAACAGCCAGAACATATMRCACGTGCTTTGYMSTGGWWTGAYSRAMRTRYCRGGTGTTACGGAGAATGGGTACGAACGTTGTGTTGGWTATCTRTGAAAGATTTGCAGTGGGCTTTGGGCAAAGACATGAAAAACAAACTTTTTGTCCACAAGATTCCGTTTGACCATAATAAAGACATACTAGAATGTCTTCTTGTTGCAAGACAAGGAAGAGCATACGGTTTTGACGTTTGGAACGCAAGCGCAACGATTTCGYAAGACAGCTAAAAAACGTAATTAAAATATGTTCCGATAGACGAAAGCAAACCAAATAAGGGATTTTTAAGTAAGGGAATGTCTATTTTAATTGGAATTTTAAAAAAATATCGGAACAGTAACATGATAAATACGAGCCCACACGTATGAGAATGCACATAAAGCCGCCTAATTACCATGCAAACCACATAACCAGCTTTTAAACTTCCAAATGTTATATTTTTATCCATTTTGGCCTAGTCTACCTCTTTTGGCCWAGTCAGTTGGAACGTCTCATACAACGCCGCGCGTGTCAGTGGAAACGTAACCTTAATTTTGGTACATCGTGGCGTGACGACACTAATAGCGGCCGCATAGGAGACTATGGGTGGATGACGTCGTCTGACTCTTGGATAGATGCGCATGCGTCCTTCACATTGAATGCAATTCACTATTTATGGTCACGAGTGAAAAACGTCTGCGCATGTTCTGAATCCGTATGCAAATTAGTGAAAACAAGTAAATTTGACTTTCAAACATGCCTGATAAATTGGACTTCACAAAATGCCAAACCTTATTATACATGCTTGAATTCGAAACTTAAGGCTAACTCTTTCATATTGTGTTTAATACAGTATCTTGGTTTGACAAAAGTATACTTTTGAACCTTTTTGTATACTTGGAGAAAACAAACATTTATTTTCTCACTCSACTCTTCGAAATTCTTAGAAAACGTGCTGAAAAGCACGCATGTGCAAACGTTTTCCCCTGGTGTCCCATTTATGACCACTGATTCACTTACATGCCTTGATTCAGAAGTAAACATTCCACTCTTTATTTTGTGACAATTCAAGTATCTAGTCCTGCATTTACCAAAAACCATTAGAGATATCATCACTGACTTCTACAATRGTTCGACAGCAAAGATTCAGTAACTGGTCAATCACCAATAAATYAAGATTTTTAAAAGTAATTTTTCAATTAAGTGTTAATGTTTTTAAGTTGATTTAGAAATGATTGATGGATGGGATTTTACATTTAAACTGAGATTGCTTGACAGGTTTAATACTACACCTTGAACTACCTTCAAAGGTTCAAGTCGATTGCACTGGGCGCGGATGACACGAGTGAAAAATGCTGCGCATGCTCTGAATCCAAATGCAAATTAGTCAAAACATAAGTAAATTTGACTTTCAAAYCAAAACTTAGTGTCCATGCTTGTCCATGCACCTATCATTCTAACAACCCAGTCATTTTTCATGGGTTCTGCATACAGGACCTTTGGTGTGTTAGAGTGAAAGATTTCTATATGAGATCATAAATGACATCTTTAAGATAATAATTTTGAGATAATTGTGACTCTTAATTATTCCAAACTATATTACAAGGAGCTGCTGAACASCTATGTACTCTCCTTGCTAATTCCAACCAGAGTGAGTCCACGCACTCCTTTCTTCCACTTTAGTTGCCCTTGAGGAAGGGCATAGAGCTGACACCTCGCAGTYTTGTATATGTATGTAACGTCTCAATGCTTTTTTGTCCAAAACTCCTCAGGATTTTCTCTTTTCTCCCATACTGAACCAGAAGTGAACCTTACTTTGTCTCGATCCATTGCTTCTTTAAGCGAAGCCTGGAATTATAAAAAGGCTGTTATAAGTCTCATGTTCTGATTGGTTAGTAGAGCGTGCATAATGAGAGCACACGGCATGCATGCACACTTTCAATTTTATTATTTGTGTCTAAGATAACATATGCTCTAATTAGTATTTTATCAAATAAGTTAAAAACTTATTTGCTGGGGTGCTGTGTGAAGTTGTTAAAAAGCACTTGAGGATTGACAGAACACTCGGTGTTAAGAAGCACTCAGCTATGCGACACTGGTTATGTGTRTACATGTCGGGATGGGTAAGGGGGTACATGGATTATTAACTATATCAAAATTCTCCTAAAGTGAGAGTTTATAGGGGATTCATGAATCCTTTTACTATACCTTTATATCTTCAGATTTTATCATCTTGTAGGACACACAGTTTTGAAGGTCATTTTTATAAAGAGAACAGTCCTTAAATCTTCCATAAATATAATACTGGTGAAACTGGTTTCTTGATGCTATAAGAACAAGATGACAAAATATCATTCTTAGTTTTAAATGTAATGTTTTTTCACACTCTTATTGGTACCACTTGAAAAAAGTTAACCAATCAAACGTAGAATGAAATCAAAGGAATCAAACTTGAGTGAAA